GTTGGCTTCTGCAACATGGGACGACGCGAGTATTATTTGATGGCGCTGCGCATAGCAAATGCATGCTTTTTATTGTCCGCGTGATTATGCATATTGACTGTTCACGATTACTGAAATCTGCATGACAAACAGTGCTGACCTTAAAATTTGAATCAGGGCATCGAAACTATGGCGGAGTATTTCAATCAGTGGTGCGGGCGCATTGTCGAAATGTGGGACGCACAAGAACGTCCGGGATTAGGTACTTAGATTTTTGCCATGCATAAACTTGCGTGAAATGACATTCCGCAATTTGTCATGCAATATTTCAAAAAAATCACTCTACCTCAGGATACCAGCTGCAGGACCGCACGCCCGTAATTATCACCATTGCAGAAGCAGGGAGAAAACAACTACCATTCGCTCATCACATCTCCATGTGCGCCGTGCCGTACAGCCCGCTCTTCACGCAGCATCTGGAAAAAGCACGACAAATGCTGGTCTTGGGTTATGTTTGCTGGATTCTGCAGGTGATCAAGGTCAACGCGATGATGAATACCCGGTACGGACACGCAGTGGGATGCGCCTTGGATGGCGTGCGGTTAGGTGGACGAGAGTTTGTTCAAAGTCGAATTCGCGGGTTTTTGTTTGACACGCTTGATGAGGCGTTCACGCTGAGCATGCTGCTCGTCGCGCTTCCGGAAGGTTCTTTTCAGGATATCCAAAAGTTCCTGAAAAAACTTGACACCGCCGATTACAACTACACCTACCAGCAAAAAAAATACAGCTGTTGGCTGTCGGCCTTGTTGGAGATCATTTCCTTCCTGACGAATTGGGGCCGGCTTGGAGTGGACATCCCGACGGTCTTCACAATGGACAAGTGTTCGGCGAATTCCTACCCGCAGTGGCGCGCTGAGCGCGGGGATTTATCTTGTGAAAATGATTCAGATATATGTTTGCGCGACACTACTAGAAAACCTGCATGACAAATACGACGGTGATCGATTTTTGAAATGTGTATCTGAGTCTTTAACTTTCATACTGCCCCTCGATTTGCAATTGGGACGTCCCGCACGACGAGAACCGGCAATCCATCAAAATTGCGGAGAAAATGCTGCCGGTGAAGATGAAGCGCCTCTACAGGCTGAGGAGTACGGCGAAAGGAAAACACTCCATAAAGTTTGGCGATTTCTACACAGCGGTCATCGAATCTTGCGACGACAACGACATCATCAGACTGGTCGGCGAGTTCAGGGAGGATCTGGAGGCGGAAATCAACTGCTCGTACGATAGTCCGGATTTTGCAGATGCGGTGAGGATTCGGTGCAAACTCATCCGCTCGCAATTGGGAAACTTCAGTAGCAAGGAGCGGTTCTGCCAGATGGATTATACTTGTTTTTTCGCGAAAACAGGGTGGACGACGTTGCGGTTCGCATTCCGGTGCTTTCTCTACATCGAGAATCCAAATCGCAAGGCCCTCGACTCGGAGATTTTTGTAACTGCTGCGAAAGATGGGAGGCCTTCGTTAATCATGTGGAAGAAACTCGAACTGGATTACGTCCTAGCCCAATCCTGCAACAAGCTACAGTTCAAAGACAAAAAGCGGTCAGGAGTGGAAAGAGAGAAAAGCACTTTTTGTTTTTTGCATCTGTAGTTCGCCGATGGTTTTGTCATGCAAAGTTTTCAAATGTAAGGCCTTTCGTAATTGTTTTCAAATTTTGAATTCAAAATTACATCAGCAATCGACAAAGCCGACGCTGAAACCGACTCCGAGTCCGATGATGATGACGAGAACAGACATAACAAAGCCAAACTACCAAACACGAAAAGAAGGGAAAAGGCCGTGTGGAGTTTTCACGACGAGGTGCAGGAGCTAGACGACAAGGTCAAGCAAGACGGTTTTTGGGACGTTGCAAGCTGGATAACGGAATTAGATGAGAGAAAAAGGGAGCGGAAGGAACAGGAGGGGAGAAACATGATGGAAGAAACTCTGACCAAACTCGGCCCGGATGACGATCCGAACACGATTGTTTCCATCTGTGCAACACTTGCTGACGAAAGCATTCGGATGGCGGCGTTAATATGCGAACTGTGCAAAAGAGCACCCCTGTATTATCATGGGGCCACCATAGCCATCGGCTGGGTGAATTTGAACCAGCGGGCGGGTTTTTACAGCCAGTCTCCAAGCATGCTAGCGGACACGGCGTTTTTGTCCAATTCCCACTTCGAAAACGATCTTCGCCGATCTCTCCGGATGAATCAAGAGGACAAATTTGCGGAAACCTACGGAGCGGGGTTCTTCTGGGTACAGATGATCATGCTTTTGTCATGCAAAGCGCACACGTTTATGGTTATACTACTGCAGTTTCATGCTAAGAAAATTGCTTTGCATTTTGCTGGCGATACACAATCAGGGCACTGCGGCCGTTAATATCTCTATTTCGCGACTGCATCAAAAAAAATAATGTTCTAATACAAAACAGGTATTGCAAAAGGCCGTGAAAACCCAGCAACTCCGCCTCTCAATGGAAAAGAGAATGTTACTTTACGGGATGAAGCCCGGGTTGGACCTCACGCTTGAGGATTTTGCGCATTTGCCATCCGACCTCCAGGGGTGGAAGTCTTCAGTTGCCGAAATTTGTCGCGATCGGGATTTTTACCTGAAGCAACAGCACCGCTCTTTCCTCGCATTCCTGGAAAGTTCTCCGTACCATTTTTTGGAAGAGGAGGAAGTATCCGCGATCCAGGCAACAAAGACTGCTACGACGAAGGCCGCTTGCTACACACACTTTCGCGATCGAGCGATCATGGGCTCGCACAAGTTCGAGCTCCAGCTTTTCGAGAAAATCTTGGAGGTCAAGGGGCTGCGGAAAAATCCCATCGCCAGTAAGCTGATCGCAGGACTCGGGAAGATGGAGAATAGTTGGCTCATCCGGAAGTGGTTAATAGTTTATGAGAAGGAGGGGGCGGAACAAGCGAAAAGTTTTTTGGAACAATTTCCGGCGGTAATGATACCCAGTACGCGGGGTATAGAAGCGTACGGCGGCATTCTCTCCAGGACGTCGCGTCGCGGCAACAACTCTGGGATTTTACAGCAGGTACCAAAATGCAGATATTGATTTTTTTTTGCGAATCCGAAATGCAAAATGACTTGCGTTTTATGCATGACAAATGACACACATTGAAACAACAATCAAACAGTGCACCCAGTACGCGTTGCAGGAGTCTTGTCTTCCGACCTGGGTGCCGTGTTTTCGAGCATACGATCCTGTTTCCACGCTCTATACACGGAAAGGCTGCATGGACAGCAACAGTGTCTTGGACGGCCGGCAGTTGCTGGAAAACGAGCCCGACGTCGACTATGATAAATGCCGCGAATATTTGTGGCCGGACGGCACGGAGTTCGAAAATATGGCCACGCTTCGCAAACCCAGTGACATCGTGCGCATGCTCTACATGATGAAAATACAGAACACGGCGTGGAACAACGACCCGAAACCGCAGTTGCAAAGAAATCTCCAGCAGCACACCGAGTACCCCGAGTTGGCGGAAGCCCTGCCAGAATTGAAGCAATTCATGAACTTGGACCACGCAAAACACGGAATGTCGGAAGCTGAAGTAAAAGAGTTTCTAAATCACAAGTGCGCTACCATGCGTCTCCACGAGCGCCGCGTTTGTGAGGCGATAATCGACGAGCATCATACCGACATCTGCCAGGGAGCCGAAGAGTACCAAACTGCCTGCCAGCGAGGCAGACTCCAGTGTCTGTACTTATTTTTTCTCCTCCACGCCTACACCGAAGCAGGAAAACCACTCTGCCTGGAAATTTACCTCTACCACAAGAGATCCCGCATTGTCCAGGTGCTGTCCGTCAATTTGAGCCTGCAGGTCTTGGTAGTAGTCGTGTTGCGGGAAGCGGATATTTTAGATCCCCACGCAGTGCATTTTGGAGAGGGCCAAGCAACTGGATCTGACGAGCCCGATCCTAACCAACCCGCTACGGGTCGCCTGCCGAAAGCACACCAAGAGTTCCAGAGGAGCACACGGGTGATCAGCGGCGAGGCTGTGGGAAAGTGGAGAGGTATTTTTGAAATTCAATTGCGGGATGCTGCGCGCCATGCTTGCTTATAAAAGTGTGCATCTAGTACAAGTATAATTGTTTATGCGTGTGTCCTATGGTTGTGCATTTGATCTGCAGCTGAATCCTGTGCAGCAGCTTACGTTCGTCCAAAATGCGCAAAACGAGCAGCAATTTCATGCCAATAATTTTTTAAAAGTGTAAATATGTGATGCCTTCAGGTTTTGCCCGGTGTTTCGAGTCACCTTACAGCGGTGACGTGACCAAGAAGTACGAAAATGACAAACACGCTGGCAACGTCGCGGAGTTCGAGTACCCAGACGAGCATTGGAATTGGGCGCTTCCGTTTCCAACCCACGCCATGTCCACGAAATCTCGGCTGAAATGCTTGCTCATCACCTCCTCGCGCATTGATATGTGCACCTCGGGGCATTTTCAAGAAATCCGGGTCGTCAGAGACGCGCGGTACAGAATCCTGAACAAGTCTCGCTGCAGAATTTGCTGGTTTTTTGACACGGAGCAGCTTACTCCGTTGCAGGCTGCGATCGAGGCCGGGTACGGTGTTCTTCCAAATCCTACGGGCGCAAAAAGTTCCAAGCAAGCGGACGTGAAGAAAACATGCGAGTTCTTGTTTCAGGACGAACCCCGAAGAATCATCAACTTTCGCCCGGACATGGATGGGCGGCAGTGTTTCGAACCATACGAATTTTGGAGGAAGCTGGACTACAACAGTGTGAAAGAACGGGAGGAGCGTTTGTGGGACGTATTTGAAGAAAATTCCACACACCACAACTCCAAGGTAGATGACCAACAACAAAATGACTCCTCGCTGCAGAATAACACGGATTCGGTTGTTGGCGACTTACAAGACTATCGGGTGGACGTCAGGTTTCAGCACATGACCCGCCAAGGAAATAAAAAGACGAGCAGCGAGAAAAAGAAGATGCTGGACGGAATTTTTTTTGATGCCCCGGAAGGCATTACCGAGATGCAAATTCTAAGCCAACAGAAACCGACTGCAGCAGTTGACGAGTGGCAAACCAGACCGAAAAAGGAGGAAAAAGAATTCTCCAAGGACCAGATGATGGTTTTTTTCCGGCGGGTCGAGAAGCAAATAGACCAGATCGAGCATTGGCGGGACATTATGTTTTGCATGATGTTCGGTGAAGTGGACGGCGAGAAGATCTTGGTCAAGCAGGGGTGCTACAAAAATGAAGCCGTCGCGACCGGCGTTGCCAGCACGATGAGCATGTCAATCAAGGCTTTTTACAAAAAATTATCCGACGAGATGGAGCAAGCAAAAATAGACAAGAAGACTAGCGACATCCAGTTCTACGCCCGGCTGAAAATCGACGAGTACAACGCGAAGAAAGCTAAAGAGCCTACTCAGGAAGAGAATATGCTCCCGGACCAGATCAAAGTGAACGAGAAGAAGGTTCTGGAAGGAGCGATTGGACTTTTTGGAGCAGCTGGCAAGCAGGTTGTGGCAGACAGAGAGGTACTAACTATTTTGTGCACCCAGTGTAATGCTCTCGCTGTGACCCGATTAGCAGACTGATTTCTCATGCATGGATCGCTCCTTGTGCGGTTTATAATTTTTTCCAATATTTTACAGGCGGTGCAAGACGAACCGCACCAGCAGAATCCGCAGCCGCTGCCTGATTTGAAATATCTAATAAATTCCGCCTACAAATGAAACCGCAGCAGTCATTGCACGCGTGACAAACTGTAGCCATCCAGTTTTTTTATGTACGGCTCTGAGCTTCAACTATATGACCTGGCTTGTTTGTAGGCGCGAATTAGCATCCATACTGCTGACACTGTGCGGAAGGAGCCGAAATCCGAGGGGCAACTGAAATTTGAACAAGAGCTGCAACAATATCGAAACAAGTACGCGGGTGGAAAGTGGAAGAAGCAGGTCGATGCCGCAAGTGACGTTTTTCATAAGGAGCTCGACCTCGTCAAACTGCACAAGCAGTACCACCAAAAAGAGTACAACGGCGAATGCTCTAAGTGCAAGAAAAACATCATCATCTACAAGAAAACTTTTATTTCCGGCGGCGGGCCGTGCCTCACCTACCGAGAAATGCAAAAGTCTAACTGGAGGACAGTGCAACTGGGCCCCATGTCGCACCGCGTTCCGGATGGGGCCGCGGAGTTGGGAAGGTGTTTTTGTGGTTGGTGGAGAGGGGGAAAGTTATACACTGGCTCAGATTTGACTTGTGAAGAAATAAGTAGCGATGATCTTTTCAATTGCGCGATTCTTACCGCAAAAGCAAGAGCCAGGGAAAGTGATAATACCCTCTGCAATTGTGCGGAAAGTGACCGAATCACCGAAAAGAAATTGCCACGCTTGCCGCAAAAGTTCACTTATACTAAAACGAAAAGCGATAGCCTCGAGCTGAATGACGATAGCTTCGAATTTGATATTGACCCCGTAAACGACAAGCAACTTTTTGGGTAGATTTTTTTCGCTCGGATTAACATGCAGATTTGTAATGCAAAAAAAACTTCACTTTCAAGAACACAAGAAGTAGTATTATTTTTGATATTGTCTTGCGTGATGTAATTTCTACTCCGTAGTTAGCTTGATCGCATCCACATCGACACATCAACAAAAGCACTACTCTGCGTTGCTTCGAGGCATGTTGTATCCGCTTTCTGTGTTGCGAAAGCATAGCAGTCAACTTCAGTGTAGTAAATTCACAACAAAAATGATGTGCACCCAGCTGACAGCACAACTGAAAAGTAAAAAAAATAAACGCATCCCGCAGCGGTGGGAAGATATCCGCTGTCGAAATGCCATCGCGCTTCGTGCTGGTGCATTAACTTATATAATTTCTCCGTCTTGCAAGCCTTTTCTCGATGGTTGTGCGCAGCAGCACAGATCTTGAGTCAAAAAGCACTAGGCTGTTAGTTGTAGATATCGCAGGGGGCCGCATCCTCGTAAAAAAAACGCTTAATTATGTGCCGCGTTCATAGAAAGTGCAAGGATCATGAAGCTCAAGCAACGACGTAGAGATCTATCGTAGTCGGTCGTGAAAAAATAGCATCAAGCTCGGCACCTGATCAGTTACAAGGTCAAAACCGCACCAAGTACTGCTCTAGTCGTTCCAATGATAATAAATTCGTACAACATATCGGCCACTTGTATCTATTTCCGATCGTGATAATATATATAATTTCCGCGCATATAAAATTTTTAAGTATGAAGAAAAATATGTATTTTGTGTACCTCTAACTGATAACTAAGCGAATTCCACCCCTATCGATTCTACTCATATTGATGGCGATTTCTCGTGTATCAGAAAAAAAAGAAAACTCCGCACGGTAATCGCCCGACTGGATGATAAGCAAGCTATATGCACATGACAACTACTTTTGCTTTTGCATACCAATGTTCCTCCAGTAAAGAGCTTTGTGATTGCAAAAACCGTACCAGCAGAAAAAGCAGTGTTGATGCTGCTATCTGTCCAAGTCGAAAAACATACTTGCCCATCATAGGTATGAAAGTACTTAGAAACCGTACTTTCCCCCCCGACTTTTTCATTTGCAGGCAATTGAAAATGCCACCTGCAACCCTTCTTCCACGCCCTCCAATCTGGAGGAACAAGGATGATGAAGACCGATGTTCACAGGCAAGCGCATCAAGCTCTCGAATTCTTTTTGCATACTGCAGCTCTCTGTCTCTGAAGATACCCTGGATTGTGTTGGAACTAGCGAAACGCAAAAATTATCGCTGCACGGGGCGAGCTCAGGATCGATGAAGAATTAGCTGACCAGCTGATAATCGATCGCCATTTCTTTCCGCTTCGCGCTTGCAAGCATCAAAACCTCTCTGGAACACGTGTTATCCTGTTGGTGCCCATTCGCTTTTGTACATCGACGCAGGAACGGAAGTAGTTTACAATACGATTTTAGGTTTAGAAAGACGCGCATTATTGTCCTCGAGAGCAAGGAATAAAATTTCGCCTTTACAATAGCTGCAGTTATTTCTCCTCATTCTGTTGATTTGGACCTGCAGTGTTCCTCCTTAAAAGCACAAACATGGCGCAGTTCTGCTTTTTTGCGTGGGATCCGACAGCGAAAGCATCCCCCGAAGAAATCGCGCACTTGCAGGACGACGAAAAGGAATTCGCACACCAGGACGCGAAGATTCTGTATTACCACCCCGGTTTGGTGACGCAAGAGGAGAAACGGAATCAGGTGTCGCTCGTGCAGGGCTTGGTGGATTTCACGCGACAGTGGGACATGATGACGGATGCTCCTGCGAAGGAGCCAAAAACAAAAACCGTATCCACCGCCAGCCCGGCGGGCTCGAAAACCACGGCTCCGGCGGGAGCTGCCGCAGCCGGCACCTCTGGCTCGGGAGGCAGCAGTTCGTCTAGCAGTAGAATAAAGAAACAAAAGAAGAAGCGATGTTCCTCGCTGCGGTCGATGAAGACGAAGGACTACTCCTTCGGGTTCGAAGAGGTGGAAGACAACATCTGGTTCGCGCTCGCCGTGAAGCACCCCGCGGTGACTGTCGGAAGTAAAACCGTGACGGTTCCCGGTGGAAACAAGCAGAGCCCGAGGACGCGGGGAGACCATGACGGCCTAGGTGGACCACCTGACGGGCAAAAGGGCGAGGACAATAGCTCGAGCAGACCCAACCACAGACAGCAGGTGATCGACATTCGCGAGTCACTGGAAACCATCATTCCGGAGAACACGCTGCTTGCGGTGCTGAAAAACCTCTACAGCATCTTTCAACTGCTTCACGGAAAGGTGCGGCACTTTTTGCCGGAAGGCGACAATAAGGGCCAAGGAACTTCTACTTCTGCGTCAAGTTCCTCAAAGGAAGATGGGAAAAAAATCGCACCGGGAATAAAAATGAGCAGCCATAGCATGAAAACCAGGTCGCAGCAAAGGGAACTTCTGGCAGACCTGCTGGAGGACCTCGTGCCTGCGTATCTGGAAACCTTGACGCACCACTTGCTCGACTCGCAGTTGGCGAACGGTGTTTTCTACCAGCTCGATGGGTTTCACTACGGACCAGTGGAACGAAACACCTACGTCTCTATCGCAACATTTCTGGCAAAACTGAAAGAAATGCTGGGCGTGGAGTACCGAAATTGCGCACTGTTTTACAAGGCGCATCTCATCTACAGTGGCATGGATCTGGAGGACATGAAGGTACTCAGAGAGTGCGCCAGATTACTTGTGGCGGTTTTCATGTGAAAATAGATTGCTACATGATACTAGTGTTATATAGCACATGCAGCATATGTTTGTAGCCAGCTGCGTACAGATGGTTGCTGGGACAAGTTGTCCCAGGGCATAGTGTTATCGCCGTCAGGCTGCAACTACATCTATGGCAGAGCCAATCGATGTCAGCTGCATTTTTTACCGTATGGTCAAGTCTAAAAAATTCAACCAACACTTAACCAGGTCGCCTACTCCTACCTCGTTAATTTGTTTAATGGGCAAGTTTCGAACGAGAAGCTGAACCAGCCGCCCTACGGCCGCATTCCCACGTCGAACAATTCGCATTCCAGCGCGTTCGGCAGATCGCACTTGATCGAGGCCGCCGAGGGTGCGAGCACTAATTCCGCGGCAAACCTGATCGAAACGACCTTGTTCGGCGGTGCCGCCACGGTATTGCCCTCGGCGCGGAGCGGAACAGGTGCTGCTGGGAGGAAAAAATCCGCGCAGCCGCACAACAGCGGTTGCTACCTGTTCGGCTCGGACGACACCTCCAGCACGGCGACCAGCAATCGGAATCTGTTCATCCCGCGGGTGTTTCTCCCGAGTAACAACGCCGAGGGGCAGCTGGTTGCGCTCTGCTACCACGGAGTTCTACTTTTGCTGGTTTTCGACAAGAACGTCAACGTGGACGCACGACTACTGGAGGCGATCAAAAAATACAGCACGTCGCCAGAGCTCTGCGAGAATCTATCCACGCTCGTGCCGATTATCGAGAAGCAGTTTTCCCTAGTAATGTCGGCAGAGGATGAGTACCGCTTTCTCTACTTCAATCACGCGAACCAGGCGCTCCGGGTCTCCAACCACTTCTCGACCGGACACAGTTCCCAGAGCCGAAATGTCTTCTCCGCCGCCTTCGGGGGCGGGAGTACTAGCGGCAATACTTTGCTCGGAGGCGGGGGAGCTGGTAGTGGTACTAATGCGCACCAGGGGAACAAAAACGGCGCACTCACCCTGTCCGGCAAGAAGAAAAACAAGGAGCAAGCCGCGTCCGCCCAATCGCGGGTTTACAACCTTGTGGCGAGCGTCATTACCGGGGGCGGCACAAGTACGTCCAACACGGCGGGTGGTAATAACAACGGCAACAGCTCCCCGGGAGACGGAAATGCGGATGGCTCGGGTGCCGGGGGCAAGGACGACGACAAGGAAAACGGACGGCTGACCGTGTCGCAGGTAAACACGCCGAACACGATGGAGTATTTGCAAAACGGCGACAAAGACTTGTACTTGGCGCAGTGTTTGCATTCGACAATTGCGAAAAACTCCGACTGCAATTACCGGGAAGTGTGTTTGAAAGAGCACGAAAGAGGCTGGATCTGCGCGAAAAGGTACTTTTTCTGCGTGGGGTTTAGAACATGTTTGATGTTTTTTTTTGTTTGTAGTACAGTGACAACGCATCATGTTGAATTTTTTTTTGTTTCAGTATGCATTTCAAAGTAAGTGTCATCAATTTTTTCAGGTCACTAGAGCGGGAGTTTTACCTGATGCTCGACCAACCGTCCATGATGCTCTCGAAGTGCCAGGAAGAAAGCGCAAGGTTCTCGGCCATTCACTTCAGCAACATCTACATGATGTGAGGTTCTCGAATCTCGAGTACGTAGGCAATGACAAGCCGTGCGCGTCGAGGAATGCCTAAAGTATCGAAAGATGGACATCTTGATCTCTACTAGATATAGATCCTTTAGCGACTACGACAATGTTTTTTTTCTGTCCGTGGATAGAAGAGCAGGTAATCTCTTCAATCCCACGAGAGCTTATCTGCACCGACTTTATCCCCGCCAGCACGCACACTGGTTGATGTGGATACTGTTTGCGATCGAGACCTCGTTCTGCGAGCGCAAACGTTCGTAACGCAGGAGAAAACTTCGCGCAAGACGATGTTCTGCTTCTGGTAGTTTCTTCAGAAAGGGAGAGATCTTGTGCACAGTGGTGATTTGGTTCGACATGTCTGCTTGAGCAGCACACGCGCCTGCCTACGCTTCTTGGGGAAGACACGGAAACATTCGCAGGGCATGTATGTATGATCTGCTACTAGTTCACAGGCAAGAGGCCACCAGGAAATTATCATTGTGTGATTCAGCCCAGCAGTCCTCGCTATTGCCATTCGGAGACTTAGATCAGGAGTACGAGACATCAACCCAGATAATTCTCATTCGTGAATGTCCTGCTGGATTGATATCTCTACCAGCGGCCAATTTGCTGGGGATTCCCACTAATCTAAAAATACAGTCGAGCAGGTGGCAACAAATGAAGAGGATCACAAAAGTGGTCGAAAAAAACGTTGTGTTAGAAGTTACATCCAGGTGCAACTACTTCTCTGATGCTATGCCGCGATCAGGGCTCATTTTATTTCGTGGGGAAAAATGGTTAGTCTTACGTTTACCGCATTAACCAACTGCTCTTCATCTATATGGAACCTATGATGACGCTTCTTGTACGTCGGCTACGTAGTAAGTTTCCTTATGCAGTGTCCTCGACGCTCACGCTCACGCTGCCCCGAAGGCTGGCAATATGGAACCCTAAGCCCGGCACTTTTCTCGAAGGCAAATGGAGGAAAAGACGAGTTTTCTGGATTTGAAACGTGAATAAGTTTTCTGGATTTGGATGCAACTGCAACTCTTCAACTACGCTATCACTTCTTAAAAAACGTAGATAGTGAAGTACAAGTACTCCAGTAGATTAAGTGAAAGATGCCCCCAAAAAAGGCTGCTTCTAGCTCCTCTGGTGCCGCCAAGCAGGCAAATGCGAAGCAGAAGGCAGTTCCGCATGCACGAAACACGAGACTTGCGGCCGCGGCGAAAGCGAATGCCGCTCCCGCAGTGGGACTCCCAGCACCGCATCTTCAACCCGGGTTACATCATCCGGCGTTTTTGCAAGCCCAACAGGCTGTACCCGGTGCTGCTACAATACCCGCTCGCAATAGTATGCTGCTACCAGGTGGACAACCGCAACAGGCCAAACAGCCACCCACTGGGCATGTGCTGCACCGAGCGCAATTTCAACAGCAGCTGATGCTGCAGCAACAAGCAGTGGCTGCACAAGCACTGAAAGGTAGTATGGGCGTCGCGGGTCACCTAGTACCACAAGGAACAGTACTACAACAGCAGCCAGGAGCAGTTGCAGCTTCTGGCGTTGGCGGCTTAGCAGCTGTTCCTGTTGCGCCAGGCGCACCACCAGGAGGTTTTGCGCCGACAGCACGGCAGCTTGCGATTCAGCAACAGCAGTTATGAGAGTGCACAACTCCCCCTCCCCCTCTTTTGTCATGCAAAATGCCTCACTTACGCCTTGGCTCTCTGCACTGGTTGCATCACAAGTTCTGGTAGCCCAAATAGCACTACAATCCAGCTCAAATTTGTCATGCAAAACCTGTATTCTTGCTGACACTTGTATTGCTGTTCATGCAATACAAATGAGGGGGAGGGGGAGTTGTGCACTGCCATAGCAGTTGTTTGTCCAGCAGCAGGCAGCCGCTGCGGGGAAGGCGAAAGGTGTTGGAGTTGCTGCCGGACCCTCGACCATGAAAGGAAAAATGACAGACCAGCAGCGCTACTATTACATGCTCCAGCAGCAGGCGAAGCACAAGCAGCTCGCGGCAGCGAAAGGAATGCTTCCACTGCAGACGCAGGGGAAGCAGGTGCAGCCAGGTACCGTGAGTGGACCTTTCGCCACTACAGCGATGCCGGGCAAGGGTGGCGTGCTGGTTGGCGCCTCCGCGAGCGCTTCTTCTACTGCGGCCTTTGTTGCGCAACCGCAGCAGCTTCTCACGACCCTTCCCGGAACTGCTAGCGCAAGTAGTGGATCCGCTAGCTTTCCGCCTGGAGGAGCACTTTCTGTGCCTCTGGTTCCTGCACCAAGCAATGGGCAGCAGCGGACGCAGGTTGTCGCGGCAGGGACATTTCCGGGCGACTTGGCGACAGCTAGTAGAACAGGACTGGCTTTATCGCCGCAGCATCAGGATCAGCAAGGCCGACCAGCAGCACCGCAGCTTGTTCCCATTGCAACTTCGGGTTCGAAAGACGGACAGCCTGCCGCAATGAAAAGTCAATCACCTCCGGAAAGAGCCCCAGAAGAGCAAGAACTCGAACAAGGCCCGGCGCAGCAGCTTTGGCAACCCCTGGATGCCCCCCCTCCCACGACCAGCGTCTCGCCTCCGTCTCTTTTGGGCAAAAATACACACGGCCGAGCAGTGGTATCTCCCGACGACGAGGATGGAAGTGTTAGTCCGGACCTGAAGAGGCAAAAAACTTCCCCGCTATCTGCCGGCGCAGGAGCAGGACCTGAAGCTGGAGGAGCTTCGGCCTCATCCTCTTCTTCTTTGGGACAAAATCTGCAAGAACCACTTTTTGCAGCGGGCAACAGCACCGCTTCTGAGGCGCGGGCTGCCCCCGCCTCCGGCAGCAGCAGTGCCAAAATCTTTCCTCCGGAAGAACACGCTCTTCCGCAACAGGAAAAAACATCTTTGAAGCGTGGTACTACCGAGGATCCAGATCAGTCAGATGAAGATGGTGATGAAGTAGATGAGGCTGAGGACGATGAAGAACTCGATGAAATGGAGCTGCCGGGCCACCAGCAGCACCTGCAGCTGAAGGGCGGCAAGGCCGTGCACCATAATTCTGTTTTGGACGATTTGGTGCAGCTGTCGCAGTTTTTCGACCATGTTTGCCGAAAACTCGAGGACGAGCTGCCGCCCAGGTTGGGCAAGGACGACGAGAAGCACAAGAAAAATGTGCGAGAGATCGCGCGGCTAATGAACCACTTGCAAAAGTACGAGCACCCGAGCACGAAGAGGAAAAAAGAGAGGCAATTGATGAAACTACAGCAGTTGCGCGATGAACTACAGGAGTTGACAGAGGCAGTGGAGTTCCCACCAGAAGGGGATGCTGGCGGTCTTCAAGATGAAGTGGATCTTAGTGTTAGAAAAGACGCTGACACGACGACCGCAGCTGCTTCTCGCAGTACCATGACCACAGAGCTCGAGGAAGTAGGTCGACCGCTAAGAAGACGAGAGCAGAATGAGGAGATACTAGTACCCTCTTCGTCTTCATCAGGCGCAGCACATCAGCTTGCGAAGCAGCCTGTCACTCTGGACTACGAGGATGTTGAAGATGCCGAAGAACAACAGAACCGGCCGCCAAAAGGTAAGGAAGTCGCAGCAGAACCAGAAGGTGTGGCCGACGAGCTGGATGAGTTGGATTTTCTCGCGGACGGGCTGCTACAAGAAGATGCTGATTCCGAAAAAGACGAACAGCTTGACGACCTCGATGACCTTGATCTCCTCGCGGACGATCTGAACAAGCCAGAAGGTGGTGATCAACATGATGATGAGAGCCAAGATGAGCAGGAGCTTGACGACTTAGACCTCCTCGCTGATAGTGTTAACAACAGTACCGGAGAGCTGCTAGGTAAAGATCATGACGTTGAACACGATGACCTTGTTGAGCCAGAGGGTAAGAATGAAGAACAAGACGACCTCGATGATCTAGATGCGCTAGCGGACGAGGTAAAACATCCCATGACGAAGGAGGAGGAAGAAGAGCTTGACGAACTCGACGAACTCGACGCCCTGGCCGACAATCTCCGCACCCGTTCGGTCGTGGCAAAAAACGTCGTTCTGGCGACGGCAGCGATGGACGTACAAGAGGAAGAGTGCGAACAGGACCTGGGTCTTTCCAGCGACGAAGGAGAAGCCGAAGCAGAAGTGAGAGGCACAGCGTCTTCTTCACGAGCGCGCTTGGAACGTCTTGCAAATCGCGACGATTTTCTGGAAAGCAGTCCGGACGAAGAGGACATAACAGCAACGCAAAATAAACATCCGAGTATGAAAAGATACCCCGCATTTGCTTCTGGAGCTGCTAGTAGTCGCGCGGATCCGCATCCTTCAGAAGATGCCAGAAGACCAGAGGACGAAGAGCCTCTGTCCGATTCTGACCTCGCCAATTGGCTCCCCGAGTCCGCGCTGCGGGGTTTTCGCAAAGGCAACAGCATCGACTACTTCTGGAGCAAGGTGCGGGAAGGGTTAACAGACCTGAACAAGAAGAAAGAAGACCAGACCTACGCACACGACGAATTTTTGGACATTTTTCAGAAGCGATCGGAAGTGCTGAAGCGGGAAAACGCCATTGCCGCGGCAAGGGAAAAAGAAAAGAAGACACGCGAAGTCGCGGAGCGAAGGGCGCAGATGCGAGAGGCGCTAGCAAAATCCGGCTCGAACATGGCAGACAACAGAGCAGCCTTGTTGCGAATGGTCAAGGGTGTGAAAAAGGCCGACCTTCTCAGAATGTAACAAAATAAACTTGAAATATGTAGATGTGAAGTTGTACTGTGACACATGAAGTGCATTTTTTTACACTGGCGCATGAAAATTTTTTTAACGAAAATCGTCTCACAAGAACGTGACTTGTCTAAGTACTTTAACCTTACTGATGTGGAATGCCGTCGTGTTCAAGTCGGTGAATCAGCATAATTTCGCGTCTACGAGGAGATCCATCAAACTTTGAAATATTCTACCAATCGATCCGAAAATTTGCTCCACCACGGGGACCGCTACTTCCCTATACTGACAGGTCTACTCACTATCTTTGGTTCCGTGACAAATCGAAGCGATCTTCAATAAATCCAAAATGTACGATCTTGAAATGTTGGCGCGGCTTTGCAGGCCGATGAATATATTAGAAAGTGACGCCCTTCCTTGAGTTTAATGGCAGCAGATATGCAACTGCAACGAGGACAAGAAACCAAATCCACCGATTCAGACAGGACGAAGCGTTGTAAATTATTGATTTGTATTTCGCAGAAAGTAATCAAGTCTCTTTCTCGTTCATCTAGTATGAGTAGAAAATAAAGAGAACGTTTCACGACATCCGTTGTCAGCATTGTAGCTATGTCCCCTACATTTCTTTTAGGAAGGATGTAAGAAAACGCCCTGGAGACTGAAACCGATCCGAAAGATTTTTCGATGATTCCTGTCCTTTTCAACGTACGAACGTTTGTTCTGTTCACGGTTTTGTACACTTAAAAAGAGAAAAACAAACACCACGAGTTACTACATCGAAAGCGACGTAAGACACTTCCTTGACAACAACTACAATCCGTAGCTGCCTCACGATGAAATACGAAAAGGATTCGCATCCGCGGTTGCGCAACCAAAATGTGTAAAAATAGAGTTTGATAACAATCCGCGTCCGTTTTCAGGGGGAAATCATTAAAACAACCATGAGCAACTACGATCGGTTCAACCTCAACGGCGGCCAGAGCGGCTCCTGGCAGCTGCCCCCGAGTGTAAATCAGAACCGACCTGGCACGACCATCAGGGCAAGCCAAAACACTTTGTCTACTCGCAATGTGAATGTTTTTATGGATTGCCGGCCGGGGGGCAATGCGACGGCGTCCGACGGATTTTCCACGAACGTAACCCTGAATCGGCCGCCCGAACTACCGGCACCGCCCGCCCCAATGAGTTCGTACCATCCGCAGGGGATGAACAATAATCCGAATAACATCGGCGGTTTCGGTGCAGGACTACAACCGGGGAACAACATTAACACGAAAGGAAATAATAATCACAACTTCTCAGGGGGATCCTCCTCTTCCGCTGGGAAGGGATCAGGAACAATCGGGCTTTCGCACGAGACACTCGGGCGCTTGGCTCAGATCATGAAGGGCGTAAAAGGCAAGAAGCAGGGCGGCGCGGCGCCGGGGAGCAGTTCTGGGGCACAACTGAATCTCAATTTTCTCTTGAACAACGGCCGATCTTCGGGTTCGACTCCGACTAATGGAAAGGGCAACAACAGTATGACGCCGATGAACGGCGGAAATGTGACCCCGTCGCAGCGGTACCCGGGTCTGCAGCAGTACTTGCAGAGCATCAATTTTTCCCAGTTTGCGGACCCGGAACAGCTGAAGCAGAACATCAAAACGATAACGGAGTCGGCAAATCAAAGGGGGCTGAATTATCAACAGCTGAAGGCCGTCCTGGACAAAATACAAGAAAAAGCCGCGAAAAGACAGCAAACACCAAGATTTATCGCCGGCCTGTCGCGAAGTTCGTCGAACGGAAGCCAGCAGGGTAGTTGTCCTGCGACGTCGGGAGCAGCAGGTCCTTCGCAGCAGCAGCAGCAGCAATTTAGCGGCGGCGGGGATTTGATGCATTTTTTGAACGAAACGACGGAATGGATGCTAGACAATCCTGCTAGTACAACCACCGGGGGTAATGTTGTAAGCTCCTCGCAAGTGCCAACACCCAGGAGCTCCGGCGGCTACTTGCTGGACAACTTCAATTTGGAATCCGCGACTGGCGTTTCGACCTCTGGTGGTGCTCAACATCATACGCCCACGGGCCGCAATGTGGACCCTTTCGCAGATCTCGGCTCTGCGGTCGCAGGGCTGGGCGCCTGGTCCGCTGCAAGCGCCGCACAGGGCCGAGGAGAAACCGGCACCAATGTTCTTGGCGCTTCTGGAACAACGAATGTTGCACCAACGACATCTTCATGTGGCGTGGCAGCGGCTGCGGCGGCTTTTGATGCGAACAAGAAGGAAAGCAACGCGCTGGAGATGGAGCATTTGATGAACCACATTTCCGGATTAGAGCAAACTACCACGGCGACGTCGACCCCGCAAGTCGCAACAGCGCAAAATGTTGTTCCCGCCCAACAACAGCACCAGCAGCAGGCCGTTGTTCAAACCAGCGGCGCCCCCAGTCCTCCGAACTCGGACGTGCAGAACGTTCTTGGGCTAGCAATTCAGAACGTATCCACCTCAGCGACCGGCAGTGCGGCCAACAAAACGCCCACAGCGACTCCGACCGGGCAGCAACAGAAGGCGGTTCTTTCAAACGCAGGCGCAGCGTTTGGGTCCTCGTTTGGGAATAAGGGCGTTCCTCTTCGTCCGCACACGACGGTAGAACAGCCCGCTCCTCCAATTATCTCGGCTTCCAGCACTAGTTCGACGAACCCGCTTGGTGCACTCGTGCCGAAGACTGCCTCGCCGGTGATCGCCCCAATAGAGCCGGTCGCGCAGCAAGGAGCGTCGGTTCGTGCGGACGAGGATGTTCGTCTAAGACCGCCTGCCACGCTTGCGCAGCAGAATTCCAGCGGTGGAAACTTCTTCCCAGCAGTGGAAATGCAAGCGACTGATGTAGTTGACGCTCAAGCTGCGACCGACGACCGCGACGACTGTTCTGATGCCGGCCGCCGATCTCGGTCGCACAGCCGCTCTCGGGGGTCTCGCTACTCTTCGCGGCGAACAAGTCGAAACGAAAGCGCGGAGGTGGACCGGGAGAAACTCACACTGAAGCTGCAGAGAAAGCAGAAGAAGAGATCGAAGAGCAGACGAGAACAGAGGCAAGGTCGGAAGAGAAATCAAAGTCACTCAGGAGGGCGATCGGGGTCCTCTTCCCAGGAGGATGACAATTCCTCCGATCGCTCTCGCAACTCGAGTGAAGACAGTAGGGGAAGGTCTCACGACAACTCCAGAAGCAGGTCGCGCTCTTCGTTGTCGGATGAAAGCAGCGACAGGAGTGAAGAGGTCGCACCACGTCCCACCTCCCGGTCGTTCCGCAAGAAAACGAGCCAGAAGCAGCTCGTGAGAAAAGGCAACAAGAACGCGGACCGAGTCTCGATCGCGTCGCCGTCAGAGCCGGAAGCTAGCTACGAGGAAAGTGTGGCAAGTGCAAGTGGACCACCTCCGCGAAATAACGCGGGCAGTGCAACTGCTGGCGCGAAGAATTTGCCCGCGGCCCCTGGTGGCGCGGGTAATAAGAACAAGAAGAAGAACAAGAATAAGAAGAAAAACAACGGCGCCAGCTTGTTCGAAAACCCGGGCGCGCACCAAGCCATGAAGGCGTTCGAGTATGCACAGCAAAGAGCTGCAGCAGCGGCTTCCTCTTCGAGTATGGCAGCAGCTGGCTACCACGACGCAAACGGGACTTGGTGGGACCAAACCGGGTGCCCGCATTACTACGATTATGCCACGGGGCAGTATTACCCGGATCCCAGCTACAATGCCTACTACTTGATGCAGAGCCAGGCAGCGGCGGCGGCGGCGCATATGCAGATGGCGCAGCAGCAAGAGCAGAATGTTCAAAAGAAGGGGAAAAAGAACAAAAAGAAGCAGGCGAACAACCAACATCACGACCAGGAGCATCTTCAAAACTACACTACCGCTGATCAGGCAGGAATGAGCAATTGCTCCGAGGCTGGTGCAGGGAATCCTGGAGATCAAGTGCAAGCAGACCAGCAGTCTCAATCCTCCAAGTCCGCACAGTGCTCTCCCTCTATCGGACCCTGGGGCGCACGAGCCACCGTGCCCGATCAGGAGGTCGAATTGGCAAAGCGCGTTTCTAACAATTTGCAGCTGGCACAGCACGTGGACAATCCGTACGGGGCGGCTGCTGCTTCCGGTCACGTTGACAATCCGTATGGCGCGGCTGCCGGGGGTGCCGCCCCGAGTTCCTTGAGCAGTTTCCAACTTTGCAGCCATCCGTACCACTTTGGCGGCGCGGCCACCGCTGGGCGCGGCATCTACGACGTGATTTTGGGGACCAAATCCTTCACCGAACTACTCGAGCTCGCGGCGGCCAACCCGAACGCGACGAGCGAGCTCCCGGCGGTGATCTTGAAGGCCAAGGACCAGGGTGCGCAGTCGGAGCTCCAGTGGCTTGAAACGCAGTTGGCATACGACAGCGACGAGGTCCACAAAAACAGCAGTAAATCCACCGCTGCTTCGAACAAGCTCACCTACCCGTTGAAGACACAGAAGCAGCTGGCGGCGCTTAAATTCCGCTGCGATAGAATCTTCCGGTCGCTCTCAAAGGACTGGTTTGTCCAGCGAGATAACAGCAACCGGTACGACCTGGTCCTGGCAAAGGGCCAGTGCCACCGAAACGCGAGCAAGCTGGTGATGCTGTTTGTGCAGACGTGGTTTGTCATGAACCGATCACCAAAAAACATCCCAGACATGATGGACGCCGGAGACATGAAGGTACTGCACTTATTTTGCCTTATTTGTTGCTTTTTCGGTTTCGCACGTCCGTCTTGTATTCATTCTCCAACATACCCTGGCTTGTAGACGACCGATTTTTTTTCGAGAATTGGCTATTAAATGACTGCACCATGATGTGTCGTTGCTGGCATTAAATTGCATTGAATAAAAATACAAAATCGGTATCATACAACAACAGGACAAGTTTGTGTGCGATCTGTACGCTTGGTACGACCCGGAAACGGGGGACGTCACGGAGAGCAACAACAATTCGCGCACCACGGGCGACCACCTGCCGCAGAAGCCGAGCTTCGAACTAAACACGCTGGATCTGTCTTCCAACGAGCTCGACAGCAGTGCCGTCATTCGGTGGCTCGATTTCCTGCGTATCTTTCGGGTCCACGTGAAAAACTTCAAATTTTGCGACAACCCGCTCGTGTCCGGCCTGGTGTTCCCCGCGCTGCTGCACTACATGTCCAGCTTTGCGTCCCCGGTTCGGTCCGTGGACTTGCGCGGCACGGCCGTGTTCGGGATCGGCACGACCAAAATCGTGGACAGTTGCAATAACAGCGACAGCGACAGTGATTCCGAGTACGGCCAGGTTTTGCCGGAGTCGTTTTGGCAGATGCTGAAGATGCTCTACTACCACGAGGGCTATCCGCGCATCGTGCAGGAAAACGAGGAAGACGAGGATTCCATCCTCGCGGGCGCAAAACAGGCTTTCTCGCGAAACTTCAAGAGTTCATCTTCCTACGCGAACAACAACAAAGGCCGGAACAATAAGAGAAATCACGTGTCCGTTGCGTGCCTTCCGTTCAAGCTGTGGCTGCCAAAACCCGGGGAGGCCGACGCGGTGCGGAAGCAGTGGATCGAATTTCTGACGAAGCAGAACCCGCCCCTGCGCTTGAAAAAGATCTACATCGGGTCGGCCGGGAAAATTCTGCCCGAAATCTCGCTGAAAGACCTGCAAAACCGAAGGAAGCATTTAAAGGACTGCTACAAGGAGCACGGCATCATGCACCGGGTCACGCAGGACAAGCCGGACTTCAGTCTGGACCTTTTCCCCGCACTCTGCATCGACTTTGCGCAGGAAAACCAGATCGAGCATTGCCTGAACAGCTGCTTCTTTGACGAAATCCGGAAGCTGATCGCCGCGGGCAAGTACATCACGCCGACGAACTCGAACAGCTGCCGCTCCTTGAATTCCTCTTCTGTCGGGAACAGCAGTGTGAGCAGTTCCTCCTACAACAACGCGGTGAATCGGAACAGAAACAACCACGACGACTTCTGGAACCGGAGAACCGGGAAGAGCTTCTTCCGCACGAACAAGAGAACAAATAACGACGACAAGTCTTCTTCTTCTGCCCTCCACATTCAGCTCCCGTGCGAGGAGGACAACTTGGACGAAAGTTGTAAACACAACAACTCCTCATTCGACCAGTCCCCGATCGAGTCCGTGGTTTCCTCGTTGGACCAGTCCCCGATCGAGCAGTATCGCATCCCCTCGGACTACGAGTCCAGCGCGAATTACTCCGACGACGACAAAAAGCACGCGAAGGAGCTTTTTCACACGAACAAGATCAAAAACGAAGCAAACCAGATCGACCTGCATGCGGCGTTTGGCAGTGCAGTCACCGCGACGGGGGCAGCGGTATCATCCTCGGGGATGATGATGAACAGCAAGAACCCTGTGACGTCAACAACAGGAGAGCACGCAGGTACACCTCTGACGGAAGACCAGATCGCAATTCAGAAAGCCAATTCGCGGCTGCAGGAGATCGACCGGAATAACAAGTTCATGTTCTTCGGGTCGCGACCGAGGGGGCGAAACGTCGAACTGCGCGGGGATCCGGTCAGCCGGAAACGGTCCACAAGTTCTTCCCGCGGCAGGAAGGGTCACAAACGGTCTTGTTCGCGCGACCGGCGAAAAAACAACACGAAGAACGACGGCGAGGAACATCAAGGCCAAAAACCAGAGGCCGCTTTTGATGTTAAACCTTCTTCGAAAGGGGAAAACGGTTCCGTTGCAGGAGCGGAAAAAGCGGAACTGGCGGGGAATAATTCTCCTTCGAACCAACTCCAGGTAGGTGTTGGGGCTGTTGAGTGTACAGAACAAGGCAAGAGCGAGAACACGACGACAGGGGCAGCTTCACCGGAAGATGATGAAGCCACTCCTCAGCAGGAGATCACGCGAGACGTTGTGAAACTTGCGTTGCCTAAAGCAAGCGCACTCCCGCCTGGAACAGCTGCTGTACGCTCTTCTCCCGCGGGGACGGTGGGCGGTAATCCGTTACTGCCGTTTCCTATCGGTCTGACAGTGCCCCCACCTGCAAGCACATCTTGTCCCCCTACGATGGCAAATCCGCTTCTCCCGGTTCCGAAGATCATTCCGATCGTGCCGAGCTCGACCAAAATGGCTCCCAGCGTCCCGCCGGGGCAGCCTCTTCCGGGCGCGGCGAGCCTGCAGCCGCTTCCAGGGATGGGCGGTCTGCAACCGTTGCCAACGTCGGCTTGTGCAGGTGCAGCGCCAGAGGTTGGAGGTGCTTCGGCGAACAAGGAAAAACAGCTAGCCGCAACGCCAAATGTGGCCACGACGAGCAGTGCCAACACAGATGGAGCTCCGGTGAAAGTGATTTCTGGCCACCTTCAGATGATCCAAAACACGCCGAACGTATCCACAAAGTGTCCGGATTCAACATCGAATATGTTGAACAAATCCTCGACGACGGTTCTTGACGACACCCCAAGCTGCGTGACGGACAAATCCGGAAAATCTTCGTTGGTGCAAGATAGTGAACAAGATCCAGCTGCAAACACCAGAGCGACGAGTCCAACCGCAAATATTAAGCGTGGGGAAGATGGACCGAAGAAAAGTTACATTCTTCCCCAAGAGCAACACGCGACCAAGAGGGACACCAATGGCAACATGACCACGACCACGGCCTCTACGGCAGCGAGCGCCTTAACTAGTAACCCGAATAGCTCGATAAATAGAAGCAAGTTCCAACAACTGAGGCTAAAGAAGGAAAAAGCGCGCCGACGTCAGGGCGGTCTGCAGTTTGGCGGGAGGAGAGAGGAAAAGAACAGATTTGAGATGGAGGAGGAATTGTCTGCTAGCAGCGAGGTGCAACGGCAACGGTCACGCTCCCCGCACGGGGGTGACGAGGACCGTCGACGGAATGACCTGAGATCGAGGAATAGTTTTGTTCCTGATAACAAGAGGGCGACACCAAAGGCGAAACAGGCGGGAAAATTGAAAAATAATCGCAATCGAAGCAGAGACTGCTCCAGGGGGAGAAACAGACAAAGAAGCAGCACAAGCTCTTCGGGGGATGCCTCTTCTCGCGCCGGTCGCTCGCAATCCTCGCGCGGACGTCCCCGACGCGGCCGGAGACAACGGTCTGGTTCGACCTCCAAAAAGAACGACCGGTCAGATCTTCAGAAAGGCGTCCAGCAAGCAGCCCGGAAAAGAAAAGACCAGAGCAGGGATCGTGATCCGAGCAAAAGAGCAAACAAGAAACGAAGGAGAAACGCATCATCCAAAAGCTCTTCCTCCGACGGGTTGTCCAGCTCTTCAAGCGAGCGAAGCGTATCAAGAGCAGGCCGGAGGAAAAATAGGAATGCTAAAACAAGGAACGACGGCAAAAACGTCGAAACCGACAAGAAGGATAAAGAGAAAGATCAACTCCGCAAGGCGGTGGCCGAGAAGCAGGATAAAAAGAGGAATACCTCCAAGAAATCTCAGCGCAACAAGAGCGCGGCGCAAAATAGCGAAAAGGATAAGAGTAAGAAAAAGCGACGGCGTCGCGGGGCTAGCAGCAGTGTTGAGTTCACAAGTTCCTCCGATGAAGAGAGTAGCAGCCGATCTTCGGAAGCCGAAAAGAAGACTTCAGCAGACAAGAAACGAAGAAAGACGAGCAAAAATGAGACTGGTGACAAAGCGAAGGCGAACAAATCACGCAGACTCAATTCGAAGTCTGGCGTTACCTCCACACTTGCCGCGGATGGAAAGGACAAAAGCAAGAAAGCGAAAGCGAGGAAAGGAAGCAAAAATCGACCTGCGAAAAAAGGCAGTAGAAGCGGTTCATCATCTTCTTCAGACGCCGATCGGCGAGGAACATCCTCCTCTTCGGATCATGATGAGACATCAAGCGATCACTCGTCCAAGGCATCTTCCAAAAAAAATCGTGAGGGCTCCAAGAGACAGCACCCTGCAGCGAAAAAGAAAAAAAAGGACGCCGCGAAAAACAAAGTCACTTCCCGCGCAGAGCGGCAGCTTGCGGCGGAAAAGGCACTGGCAATCATGGAAGCTAGCCACTCGTCGAAGAAGAACGACTCGAAAGCCAAGAAGAAAGGGCAGACCTCCTCCGCTGATTGTAGTGCAAATGACTTGTCGCGGGCCGCCTCTCTGTCGAGGACGAATAAGCGGCAGGGCAAGGACGGGCGCAAAAGAAGTAGCCGAAGTCGGAGCAGACAGCGAGCAACCCGCAGAGGAGAGGAGGAAGGCGACAAGGATCTGGAAGAAAGTGAGAGCAAGCGGGACTCGAACCTGGAGAAGCTGCGGCGCAAGATGAAACGGCACATCGCGGACAAGACGAGAAGCCGTCCGGCAAGTCGGAGTGACGAGGCTTCGAAGCGGAACTCGGCAGAGCGAAACAAGAACATTGCATCCACCAAGCCTCCGAAGACCCCCTCGTTAACCTTGCCACTGTCTAGTACCGGAAGTAGTGGAGGTGACCAGTCACGGCCACTCGTCAAGGCAGCTAGTTCAAAGATCGTGTTTGAATGCGAATCGGCCAGCGAAGGAGGAACCCCCTTGACGAAGAAGGTGTGGGCCAATAAGGAGAAGGGGACCTACATCGAGATTGAAAATGTAAAAAAGCGCACAAAATCTTCTGCCTTGCAGGACGGTAAGGCTGCAGACGGTGGAAAAGAAGATGACCTAGTGCTGGGCACTGCAACTTCTGCTGCAGTAGCAATGACCGCAGAGACAGCAAGCGCAGGAGAGAAACACGGTGAACAACCGCCACGAGACCTCGACCAGCTGCCAGCCGAAGTTGATTCTTCGGCTCTCCCTCAACCCTCCACTGCGGATCCGCATGCGGTGCCGGCTGAAGACAATGACAACCTTTCGGCAGCCGTAGACGAGTCGGAGGAGGAAGAACTTTCGCAGCTGAAGTACCCACCAGCCCAGTTTTATCCGCCCGCCCAGTTCCAGTTCGTGGAAGAAACGGCTCTGCTGGACGGTACACCGGAAGTAGTAGTAGATCCTACTGTCGTAGGAGCGAGTATTGCTGTTGCAGTGGAGGGATCTTCTGCAGCAGAGGAGCAGCACCAGGTCGAGAAGAGCCAGGAACTTTTTGTTCCGATAAAAACGGCACACCTCGAACAACATCCTGGTGTGGCAAGCGCAGCCCTCCATCCACCCGCGCATGCTGAAGACCTTCCTCCGCCCGAAGCTCCCCATTTCTCCGAGTTGTTCCGTCAGGCTGACCACTTCGAGAAAACAGAGTTGGAGAAATGCTGGCGGAAACCGGATCTTGGCCAATTGTACGACGGCGTCGCGGTTCGGAGGATGAGGATAGTAAGAAATTCCGACCACACCCACAGTGAGGATCACACCGGTGGAGGACCAAACACTTCCAGGTCACTGACGGGGTGGATCGTGAGGATGACGGAGCGATCTTCTACCACCGCGGAAGTTGTAGCCGAAGGAGCACCGGGAAGTTGCAACAACGCGCGAAGCAGCTCTTGCTTAGCAGCGTCTGGCGACGACGACGAGGAAAGATACCTGCAGAATTTAGAGATTACCATGGCACAAATTTGGACCCAACTATTAGCAGATGAAGACGCACGACCGGCTGCACCAGAACTTCGCGTCGAGGATCGAGCCACTAGTAGTACCTCTCACCTGCACAAACTTTTCAACCAACTTCTGTTGAACAGGCTTCCGGCCGCCAACGATAAGAATATTACGCCAGGATCAGGAATACAAGTAAATACGGCTCTTTCGTCGTCTCCCTCTCCCCGTCAGAAAATAACCGGAACGAGCCGGCTCCCATATGCTTTTCTTCCCGATCATGTCGGACTCGGAGGCGGAAATAAACAGGAAGAGAATGATGACGATGAAAACAAGCAGAAGGACGAGGTAACAACCGGGACGGAGTTTCCGGTGCAGGTCACCCGGGTGGAAATGGAGGGTCTGATAGTGGAAGTTCGCCGCATGGATTTGCTGCAAGACGAAGACAGCGATGGCTCAGAGGACGAAAGCGAGGACGATGGACTGGATTTCTTGTAGAAAATTGGAACTCAACAAAGCGTTTGGATAATTTTTGGTACACGTCTTGCTGATTGATATTCCAAGAATTCGACACACGGTAAGAGAAATCAGCAAAGCTCGTTGCTCGTTTACGGTCAATTTCGCTCCTGTTTTAAGATTCAAGTATGGTGTCGGAGCTTCAAATGCCACTCTAAAAAGTTCAGGTTGAGCATATTGTGAAGTGATTTCCTGAATGTCATGCCAGTATATGCGTTGATGAGAATGTAGCTACTACAATCAACACAGTGCTGGCCCTTCTACCTAAGTGAAGTCGAAATGAATCTTTAGTATTCTCCACCTATCTCAAAGCGACCCCATGACCTCCTTCATGATTTGACGACCTCGACTGCAAAAATTAAGAATGCACGAAGTATTGAGAATTTACTCCCTCATGCGATCGACACGAGAGTGAGTCATCTGCGGCATGGAATGAAATTACTGCTACGGCGTGGAATTTCATTTTGGTTTCCTCTTAACTAGGGTGTTCGAGTGCTTCGTTCTGCTGTCCTCTTTGCCACGTTCTCACTATTCCACGCAAAGAGATGCCCCCGATGCCGATCCTGACCTTGACGAAGTACGTAGCCCAAAGGTGTTATCCATGGAAGATCGTCTTGAGCTAGGTATCAACGCTATTCCAGAAGCCGATCAAGATACTAGTCAAGTCCACTGCACCGATGGTTTCAGGATCCAAAGACATACGCTTTGCACCTTCCGCGTCGGCTACTTTCATAGTACTTGCCTGGTGGAGTATGTCCACGTAGTGTCATAGTCTTTTGCAGAAGCTGCTCAGTAGTAGTTGTAGTTGTAGTTCCAGTCCGCTTTCTTTTTGCTTCGGACTTACCTATCTGTGTATTCGTTTTGAATTTGACTGGAATCAACATAGCATAGTGTGGCAGTGCTCTTTTTGTGGATGATGAAGGGTGTTTTGCTAGTAGCGAAGTAAATATTTTTGAGACAGTATTCCACCGCAAGTTCTTCTTCTTGCTTCTCTCTCGACGAGTCTGAAGCTCGGCTTCTGCTCTTGCTGTCGTTATTAGTGCTGGTGAACACTGTGAATTAGAATTACACCACGAACCACAAGGGACGAAAGGGATACGGATAGAGATTTACTTGAGTACACAAAAAGGATACGGCACTTGTAAAATGCAGCAGCCTCAAATGATGCAGCAGCAACAGCACCCGCAAACAGTGACGATGCAGATGACAATGCAGCAGCCACAGGTGGCGCAGCAGCAGCCCCAAATGATGCAGCAGCAACCGCAAATGATGCAGCAGCAACCACAAATGATGCAACAGCACAACCAGCCACAAGTGATGCAACAGCAACCACAAATGATGCAGCAGCAGCCACAAATGATGATGTACCAGAACCAGCAGCCAGCACAAATGATGCAACAGCAGCCACAAATGCAACAGCAACCACAAATGATGTACCAGAACCAGCAGCCAGCACAAATGATGCAACAGCAGCCACAAATGCAACAGCAACCACAAATGATGTACCAGAACCAGCAGCCAGCACAAATGATGCAGCAGCAGCCACAAATGCAACAGCAACCACAAATGATGTACCAGCAGCCAGCACCGACGATGCAGCAGCAACCGCAACCACCTCCGATGCTCGGGCAGCAGGTGCAGCAGCAGACCACGACAACGACGACTACATACGACGTGCCTCTGAAACCAATGACCGGAGGAGCGAGAGTACCGATTGCGCAGCCGAGACCACCGCAGCCGCAGGTCGTTGTGAATTCTTCGCCTGGAGCGCCAGTATTCTTTCATTACTTCTACTTCATTTTTGTGCTGACTGTAAGAAGAAATGCGTACCGTACCCCCATTATTTCGATTCTACTACAGGTCGTCGTCGCGGGCGGCGGTGCAGCCGGTTCCGTTTCGGTGATGCAGACACCTTCCTGCACCATCATGACGCAACAGCCACAGCCGACCGTTGTCGTACCGGCGTCACAGCCGGCGGTGATGTACGCTTCCCCACGGCCCCAGGTGGTGCATCATCAGCCGTACCGGGCGCATCATGCGAATTACAACCACAGACGCCGCCGTCACGACGAGGATATTGCGGTTGGGGCCGCCGTGGGTGTCGGCATCGGGGCGCTCGCGGGCGCGGCGATTTTAGGAGCCGCGTTGCGGTGATTTTCGGGGAAAATGACATGAGTGTAGCATGTGCTCGATTTTTCTGCTGCGACTAAGGAAACGTAAACGTTCGTGGAACAGCGTAGCAAATTTTGTCAAAAAGAAGAATTCCGTCTTGATCGCCAAGGTTGACCCGATGATTGCTTGTTCAGAAGTTCTGTATGATTGATCCATTCGTCAACCAAGTTTTTCGTGTGCAATCAATCTACTCATAAATGCTTTTCCACTCAGACATGATGCTCTTTCTTTGAGGTACACGTAAGTTGTAAATGTATATTTTTCTTGTGATTGACAATTGAATTGTGGACGCGTTTTGCTTTCCCTCTCTTTGTTTTGTTCTTAATGGAAAAGGTTACCGCCTGTCTGTCTGATGCGTGCAGACTGTGGGTTGGCTCGCCGATTCCGTGTTTGATTCTCTGGTGTGGGACAAGATAGAAAGAAGATCGGGCCTCGAAAGCTATGCAAATAGAGATACAACAAGCCGGGAGAGTTTGCGCAGCCCTGAGAATTCTTGTCTGGCTCAGTTGGCGTACCAGATCGAGGCAAAGGGTACAAGCAGCCTGAGACCTGAGTGAGAGAATGAGCGGCTTGTCCGTGGTGGTTTCTGAGACCGACGAACGAGCGCTGCCAGGGGGGAAAGCGTAGCAAGCATATGTGCTTGTGGTTATGCGCTCCAGAAGACCATAGCCATACCGATTACCATTTATTTGCAGCAAAAAAAATCCAAAGTCGAATTCGCACATCAATGCCTCTGCGTGGTCGTCGTGACACGCTCTCGGGGTCTGTGATCCAGTCCCCGCTCCTCTGCAAGAACGGCAGAGCACGCGATGGCGTCTATGGGGACAACGCCGGCTAGTCGTTGTTGGTTACCGGCACGGTAAGTGGACTAACGACATGCCGGAAGACCGGATTTCGGAGTTGAAGCGGCAGCACTTGAGCCCAGTGCGTTTCGGCCTAGACGATGGTGCTGCGGCATCTGAACAATCGGCATCCCTGCCCGTTGGCATCGTCGCTCCGCGGCAACTTTTTGCCGGTGATGGAAGCTCAGCGCAGGAATCATCGCAGCCAGTTGACGTGGCTCCGCAGTCGGGAATGCTCGAGAAGAAATCGGGTGCCGGCCGCTTGGGTGGCGACAAGCAGGGGCCTATATCGTCGGTAGAAAGAACGCAAGGGAGCAAGACTGGTCCGACACCGACATCAGGCAGCACTGGCGACCTGAGTAGAAGAGCCGGCAAACAAGAAAAAGCGAAGAGAAATCAAGGCGACCGGAAGATGAAGAACGGAGCCGCAGAAGCTACGCAGGGGCAGAACGCACCATTTTCATCACATTTGTATCAGAAATCCACGACGGTGTTTCTGAAGAGTCTCTCTCACGTGTTTCTCGGCCTCGAACCTTCGAACAGTAGCGATGCGACGGCGGGACCGACGCTCCTCTCCCGGCCGTCAGGCAAAAATCGACAAGCGTCTAAAACCTTTTCAAAAGGCAGCGTGCAGCGGCAACGGACAGGATGTTCGCAGAACGAAGTTGTAGATGATTGTACCGCCTCGTATGAGCGCATTATCTGCATTGCTTTGCCGCATGAGGACTCGATCCAGGTGAACAAGCAAACTTTGATGGCCACGCTAACGAACAGCCTCGGGCTGCAAAACAGAGCGCACTACTACAGCTGCAGTCCGGAAAAAGTGGCGAGTTTGTACACAAAAGTGTTCACCCAGCCGGACCTGTATCAGTGCAGCCGGGAGAAAGCGGCGCTGGTTTCGTTTGAGCGGGGCGTTTTCGTCTACGCCTGGGAACGCATGCGGAAGCACTTTTTGACGCTCCTGCGGCAAGAAGTGGAGGAGGAAAAAGCAGAAGAATATGCAAGAGAACTGCAACGGGAATCGCCGAAAAAATTCGCGGGAAAACCTTCCGCTAATCCGGCGCTGAAAAGAAGCGAAGCAGACAAGCAGCAAAAATACGTTCTCGACCCCGAGGAGCTGGAGGACCTTACTACGGTCGCCAACAGCCGCGCGCTGCTCTACGTGCTTCGGAAGGCCCTCGTCTGGAACCTGGAAAAGATCGGATTCAAGGTGGAAACGGTGCGAGTGGACGTGGAGCGCATGTATTTGTTGCTTAGCTACGTGACTGGAACCACGGGGCAAGCGAGCTGCACGGGATCTACGATTATCGGTGACACAAATTCATCTGCCACTTCCGAGCCGATCCTTTTCAAAGAAGCGCAGCGGCAGGGGCAGATTGCCGCGCTCGACCCGCGGATTGTGGATATCGAGGCGTTCGAGCCCTGTCACCCGCGGACCTTCTACTCGCTGGCGTATGTGATGAGCCGTCCGTGGCAGCGGAACTACCTGAACATCGGCGTGAAACTCCAGGAGGTGGTCTCGAAGTGGGAGAAAGAGGAGGCGGATGTTCGGAAGACAACCCGTTTATTGGAGAAAGGACGACAACTCTCAACCGCATCGCTGCAAAGTTGTACAACTCGAACCAGCTTTCAACTTGCTCGCGCACGAGCGGCGCTGACGTACTACCAGCGAGAGCTGGAAAAGGCACAGACCGTGGATTCCGTGGATTCGGTCATTTCCGCACTGTACGACGATGAGCTGTCGAAATCGCTCCGGAATCTCACTCGCAGGTTTTTCGGCGACGCGCTGCGCGGAGTGGACATGTCCATCGATTACGGAAATGGAGCTGACGTGGAGACATCAAGTTTGAATTTATCTCCAGGGAAGATGTCATCTGCTGCCTCGCGCCGGCGTCATGAAGCTGCAAATCCAAATTCTGCAACCAAACGAAGACAAATCGGGTCAGCCTGTTCTCCAGCGCAGAACAGGGCGGAACTGAGCGAAGTTTGGATCGATTCGATTATTCCAGACGAAGAGCCGAGCATGCTCTCCCGAACGGCTTTTTCCCCGTCAGACCACACACCGGGAGGTGCTAAAGGGAAGCCGCGCACGTCGACGGCGTCGTCGAACAGGAATCGCAACAAAGCCGGAGGGCAGAACATGAATAATCAGCTCCGCTCCACCGCAGGACATCTTTTTTCCTCCCCGGTCGAGATGGCAAAATCCACCGCGAGGGGTTTGTTGCACCGAGCGGAAAACGCCATCGCGAAGACGGGAAACGTCATCGAAGAGTTCGGGAACGACATGTTTGCCGTGGGACTGGACGACATACTGATCCAGGACCCCTCAGAACCTAGAAACTCACCGGAGATTCTTGGTGCGGACGGAGATTCTGTTGAACAGCACGGTGGCAAAGAAGTCACAAACCCAGCGCTGCGAAATCGCGACAGTCCGAATCGGGTTGTGACTGCAGGCAGAAACAACAATGAAATTCTCAATGGAATAAACCGGCAGGGCAGAATCTCCTCGTCCTCGACTGCAACTGACAGGAGCACGCGAAGAAGGATATCCGCACAGGAGCAACAGCCTTCAGCTGCGATGAGAATCAAAGAGGCTGTTTTTCTTCCGATGCAGTGGGTCAAGAAAATGAGCTGTAAGTGGATCTTTGCGCCAACAGGAAAGATTTTGCAAAAGTCCACCGGGGGCTTGGGCGAAAAAGCGAAAAGGCTACTGGAGAACGCCGGCGTGCTGGAGAGACGTGTGATTCTTCGCCAGCACTCCACCCAGTCGGTCAGTGGGTCAGTTAGTGGATCCGTTTGCGGTGCTAATGTTGCTGGAGGCGGTGTGATGAAAACAGCGTATAAGTCCATTTACGACAAGGCATACGAACTCTACCTTGACTTAAGAAAGGACGACGCTAGCAGCGATCCTAGCGGGATCTTGGCAAAAGTCAACCGGAAGTACGCAGCCGCCTTCGCGATGGAAACCACCGGGAAGGCGATTTCCGCCGTCGACCAGGCGGGTCGAAATCAGGCACAGGAGAAGGACAAGCACCAACTGCTGCATAATCTCTGGACATCGTTGAACCTGCCGAAATCCGGGCTGCCGCTCTTTGCGCACGTCGGCGCCTTTGAAGTTCCGCGCTGCTTCTGGGTGCACAGAGGAGTCCACACCGCACAGAACCTGCACCTTCAGTACAACGACGAAATAAATGGGATAAAGGAATACCGTGCCGATGGTGAAATCCGAAATCCTTTACCAACAACACCAACAAGCATGTCAATGTTCACTTCTTGTCAGCGCGTGCGTCTAGCCTACGACGTGGCACTGCGCTCCGTCAACCTCTCGCTTCTCGAGGACGAGCAGTTGCTGGAAGCGCACTTTGCGCTCGATAACCCGGAGCGCAACACGAAAATCAGGAAGTTTTCGATCGCAACCTGGGGCGAATACGTGCAAATGATGGATGATGAAGGGAGGAGATGGGGGATGAAGGACCTGTTCAAGTGTCTGAAATGCTTTCTGTGCGAAGACCTCTCCTTCAAAGTGCCGATCGAAGAGCTCCACGACTACTACGGGCCGTCCCTGGCGTTTTACTTCGCTTTTGTGGCGTTTTTCGCCCGGGGGTTAATCCCGATCGCGGTGCTGGGGCTGCTGTTGGTGGCGGTAAATTTGTCTGTGATTTTTCTAAATTGAGGAGTCTTTTCCAGTCGATCGGGTGGGAATTGCACCGTCTATAATTTTTGTAAATGATTTAGCCGCTGTGTAATTGTATGCTAGCGTACGTTGCTCGTGTGACTAACAATTCGAGAAAATTCCGATCACACTGCAAGAAATCTGATCCGACCTGCTCTACACTACGAAAATTTTACTGATCCACTTTGGTCCGCCACCGCTTGTGCTACTCTGCTTCTCTCAGATAGTCACTTCGAGCGCGTGACCTAAAGCAACGAGCGCAGGCGAGATGTGCAGGTGTAACTTTTAGTAATCGTTGCACTTGTAGTTTATCTTGCTGTATTAAAATGCGCTTAGCCCACGTCTGACAGCCTTCCGCTTTTTGGCATCAATCATGCGCTTGAGGAGCGATGGTCTTATTCGAGCGCTGCGTTCCCGAAGCGTGTTAGTAATTCGCATCGGGAGCCTTCGCTTGGAGAAACCCCGCTCCGAGCATTTTTGATCTGGAGACACATAAATTCGTGTCTGTAGGCGCTCGAAGGTACTGAAGAAGGGGGCACAGTTCACAATTTTGTTAAAAGTAAATGATCACGTGGAAGACTGAGTGAGTGCGCCTCTAAATGTCGGCTAGCGAGATCGTCTCCCAACAAAATCCAAGCGAAAAAATACAGCTATCGTTCGCCCGTTCCTGGACGATCACCAAGACTTCCCAGGAGGACAGCAATTTGTGGCAAATTCCCTCGACCGCGTTCGGAATCTACAGCTGTTGCACGAGTCTGTGGTGCTCGGTTTTCTTAGCGAATTGGCGGCGAAATGAGTCGTTTTTGCGGATCAAGTGGTACGGACTTCCGAACGGAAATGAAAAGCAATTGGGGTATGTGGAGCCGCTGAGACCTCGGTTTACGGGCATCCCGATCCGGTCGCCGATCACCGGTGAGCCGGGCGCGCTGCACTTTCCGGGATCGGTGAGGACCTTTCGACAGGTGATCAGCTGGGTGCTGCTGAGCAGCTTGCTGTTTGTTAGCTGCTGGCTCGTGTTGCTGATCGCGAAGCTACGAACGTATGGCGTGGATCAGGTACAGCTAGATACTTTCAGTGCACAATGGTTGCTCACGTAGGATTAGGATTCGCAGTTGCACTACCAGTTGTTCCATTATGATGACCAAATTACCGAGTGCCCCTGGCTGAGTCCAACTCACATGATGCTTACTCGAAACATTGTCCATGCTAATGCTGATATTGGAACCTTGTAGCGAACTGCAACTGCGTCCTTTCTCAATAGAAAACGTATGCGATTTGCCTTGTTTCCTTTAAAAACAGTGGGAGACTCCGAGTCCGAATCCTTCAGCTAGGAAGTACGACTTTTCGTGTACGTATTTCCTCGTTTCATGGATTCTAGAACAACAGGTGTTTCAGTTCTCTTGCCTCACAGCATGAGAACTAGCACTTTGATCTCGACGAGGATGGGCAATGGTCTGGAAAGTTCTAGTGACCTGCGCACGTCCTTGGCGATTGTGTCGAGGTCGCACAGCGACTTTTGTTTTGGGTTGAAAGCCGTTTTTTTGCTGACGTCTGTGTCCACCTTTAAGGTATGTGTGCACTTCCCGCGTCATATTGTCAAACACCTGTATCAGTGACAGCTTTTTGTCGATTTAGGTGCCGCTTGACGCGGAAATTGTTTCAGGTCTCTCCACGGTCGGCTTACCTCTGTGTTGTGAGGAACCGTATCACTATCAAGGCCAGACAATCGTCATTCGCTTCTTTTTTCTGTCACCTGCTTCCCACCAGTTTAGACCAGGACGCGCCCCCTAGCGCCGCTGACACCGACGCTGTCTTCGACACAGGTCGCCCTCGCCGCCTCATCACATGTTTGTACTTTGCTCTTTGGCGTCATTCTGCCTCGGCGAAATCGCCAGTACTTTTTACCGCAATCCCGCGTCATATTGTCAAACACCTGTTTCGGTGGCAATTTCTTGTCGACTTGGGTGCCGCTTGACGCGGAAATTGTTCGGGGTCTCTCCACGGTCGGCTTACCTCTGTGTTGTGGGGAACCGCATCACTATCAAGGCCTGACAATCGTCATCCACTCTCTCCTTCACTCGAACTCCATCGGAGGTTACCTCTTTCCTTCGGGCACTGACTGTCGATCCAGTTTTCGCACGCTTAGCTTCCCCCTGCAGTGGCATGGTTCTCTTCTTGTCTCGCCGGCTTTTCCGCGCCCGCCGGAACCTTCGATATCAGTTGGTGATGCTATTTTCATTCAAGAGAGGAACCGTCCATTCCCGCGTCATTTTGTCAAGCACCCGTTTCAGTGACAGTTTTGGTCGATTCGGGTGCCGCTTGACGCGCACAATAACCTCGTGTCTCCACGGTCGGTTGCTCTGTGAAATCAGAAGCCGTATCACTATCAACGCGACACATTGCTTTCAATCTTTAACTTTAAATTTTTAGTTCACATCGTCCAGTATGACGACTCGGCTCTCAGCGGTTTTGATTTGTGATGCAACTTACTAGTATCAACGTAATGAAAATGACAGACGACCCCTGACCACGTGCTCGCCGTAAAGTTCATTCAAATTTCGACCGGTTGGCTGAACACGATCCAAATCAATGTTTTCAACACGCTCGGCGACACGCTGGCCCGAACGCTTAACGAGTGGGAGAATTACCCGAGCCGGAGACGGTTTTGCAACGCACTGATCGTCAAGCTTTTCATCTTCCGCTTTATCAACAACTTCAACGTGTTCTTCTACATCGGTTTCGCTAAAACCTACGTGGAAGGCTGTGTCGAGGGCGGGCAGGTGGTGCGCGACGGAGGGGCGTGTGTTGAAGAGCTGCAGTTCAACTACGCGCTGATTTTTCTCATCCAGGCGCTCAGCAACGTTTGGGAGCTGTATGGTACTGATCTTTAATGTAGTGGCTCTGGTTTCCTGTTTTTCTGCGAGACGAGCGATAGATTTTGATTTTAAAATTGGGTCTTTCGCGGTAAGTGCATTTTCTCCAATGATGACACCTTTTGAGATACAGCATACACCGTTTCTCAAACATTCGCAGTAAGTGTCCTACTAAGTGGCTGCAGTGAATGCTGTAGCTGCGTATGCTGGACAAACTTCCTTAGATGTCTGAAAATGTCTGTTTGCTCTTCCGAAAACAAGGCGATCTCGTGAGAAATTTACCCGGATGTCATGCTGCGCAGTACTTTCCTCTTGTGCAGCGATGCCGAGTTTTCCCGTGCACTAACCAGCAATATTAGCTGATTTTCGTAGTTTTACGGGTTCGGTAGCGTCCCAGAACAAGGGACTTCGGTTGAGGCGCTTTTTTGTCGTCTCCTGATGTCTTCTGCTCCATATTCCTTGTCGCGGTGGGAGCGCTAAAATGTGTAAGGTCACTCTATGCGGCCAAACCACCGAGTCAAACCATGCAGCACACATTTCGATGAACTGAGCACTCCCGAAAAATCGTTCTGACTTCGCTGTTGATCTAAACCTCCGTGATGACAACTTTTGAGAAAATGTCTATCCGTTTCTCAAACATTCGCAGTAAGTGTCCGAGTAAGCAGCTGCTCCTACGGGGGCGGCTGCACATGCTGGACAAACTTCCTTAGATGTCTGACATTCACTTGTATTTGAAATGTAGATTTCGGATGCCATGCTGTGCAGCACTTTTCCTCTTGCGCAGCGATATCGAACCCGCTTCGAGCACCCGTGGGCCTCTTGTGCTCTTTATGGTGTTTCGGCTTCGGTAGCGTCCTAGAAAAAGTCCGCGTAGTCGACGGCGCAAGCCTCCTGCGCGGTCCTGCCTCATATTCCTTGTCGCGGCAGGTGCGCATTCCTGGATTCGTGCGCAGCATCATCTCCTGCTGCTGCGAGAAGCCATCGCGTAGGGTCGCCCTGCGGCCAAACTGCCGGGTCAAACCATGGAGCTGACAGATTTCCAGTGCTGAGCTTCGGGATAAACTAGCAGTCTGCCTTTCATCTGTCAATAATTCAGTGCCAAGGTGCAGTCTGAGAGAAATTTACATTTTGCACTCCCCGCGTTCGTGAAGGTTAGAAGGTTTTATTCTGTACCCTCCGTCCTATGATCCTCTCGGGAAACCAATAGAAGAGTTTAGGAGACTGTCGCGCTGTATGGCGTGGCAGTCTACCTTCACTCGGCTCATACTACGTCGTCTTTCGATTTTTCCCATTCGAAACTGGCGCAACCTTGGTGATCTACAGGTGTAACCTCCAAGAGCAAGAAGTGCGAGCAAGACCGAAATGATGACAACTTTTGAGAAAATGTCTATCCGTTTCTCAAACATTCGCAGTAAGTGTCCGAGTAAGCAGCTGCTCCTACGGGCGCGGCTGCATATGCTGGACAAACTTCCTTAGATGTCTGAGTAGAATCTACGTGTATTTGAAATGTAGATTTCGGATGCCATGCTGTGCAGCACTTTTCCTCTTGCACAGCGATACTGAACTCGCTTCGAGCACCTCTGGGCCTTCTGTGCTCCCTGTGGTGTTTCGGCTCCAGTAGCGTCCTAGAAAAAGATCGCGTGGTTGACGGCGCAAGCCTCCTGCGCGGTCCTGCTTCATATTCCTTGTCGTGGCAGGTGCGCATACTTGGATTCTTGCACAGCATCTCTGCTGTTGCGAAAAGCCATTGCGTAGGGTCGCTCTGCGGCCAAACTGCCGGGTCAAACCATGGAGCTGACAGACGGTTTGCGCCGAAGAAGTGCGTGCATCGTTGTTTTGGGTCCACTCTATTTGCTTTTCTTCACTCGGAATTGGCCCGTCGTCCTTGCCGATCTACGATTCATTTTGCCTGCCGTGAGAGTGCTGCTTGCAATACGGACGCGTTACTTTGTTTCTTTCAATCTTTTTTCTTTTTGGAAATATGAACTCACTGCAACTTGACGAACTTTTCTTCCGCAGGTGCAGTGGTGTCCGCGAAGCTGTCGAGGAGGTTTGGTGGATCACCAGCTGGAGCTGCCACAACCAGCAGTAGTGCCGAGACGACCGCTGCTGATGAAGAAGGGGATTGCAACCGCACTAGCGGCGCTCCTGCAGGACCGCAAGATGTTGCCTCGGTGGCCGCCCCGGTTGGAGGCGCGATTGCACAACAGCAGCACTTCTCGCCGGTGAAGCTTCATTTCGAGACCAGCGATAGCTGTGATAAATCGAAGGCATGCGTTCCCATCAGCACAGCACCGAGAGCGCCGGACTGGGATTTGGAGCGGGACTTTGGCAGAACGTACGCTGGTTCTACGCTCGTCGCGGGGACCGCATTAGACGAGCAGCAGTCTAGTTGTACTGTTGTATCGGAGGTCGCAAGCACTACTACCTCCGTTGAGTTGGAAACAAGTCCGCTCAGGAAGAAGGCGGCCCCGATGGAAAGTGGTGCGGAAGTGAAGGATACGACATCGATTTCGAAGAAACAACACCCGTGGCGGTCGCTGAAGCTGCTGCTCACTGACATGATGGATAAGCAGCCTTACGGCGACCACGAGCTAGACGGGACTTTTGAGGATTGGGTCGAGATCGTGGTTTTGTTCGGCGATGTCACGCTTTTTTCCGTCGTGTTTCCGCTGGCGCCCCTTTTCGCGATGATTCTGGGGCTCATTGAAATACGCATCGACAGCTACAAGGTACTGAGAGTCCTATTTGTTTTCTGCGTTTTAGGGTTTTGAACGCGAAAGTCGCTTCGAGCTTGAATTCTTATGTCTATGATGACAACCTTCGCTGGCACCAGTCTGAGTAGTTTCCTGGGCCGCAACTCCCGGGGGCTAGACCTTCCGGTGCTGAGAAACGCGTTTATTGGAGCTGGTCTGATTCTGGCGATTTCGTTTATGCAGTGTCCTTATGTGCCGTGGTGGGGCTGTATGTTTATTGTGATAGACCATATCATCAATCCAAATCTCGATTTGTTATGATGACAACCTTCGCTGGCACCAGTCTGAGTAGTTTCCTGGGCCGCAACTCCCGGGGGCTAGACTTTCCGGTGCTGAGAAACGCGTTTATTGGAGCTGGTCTGATTCTTGCTATTTCGTTTATGCAGTGTCATTATGTGCCCGTACCGTTTTGGGGCTGTATATTGTAATTCGCGTGTGTGCGACAGACCATATCGTCACTGTCGATTTAATATGATGACAACCTTCGCTGGCACCAGTCTTAGTAGCTTTCTGGGCCGCAACTCGCGGGGGCTAGCCTTACCGGTGCTGAGAAACGCGTTTATTGGAGCTGGTCTGATTTGGATTTGCATTTTTGGGATGCGTTTATTGAGGTTTTTTAGTTGTGATTACGCATGCCAGTTTGAAGAGTCATGACGGTGCCAGTTGGGCTTTTGTAGCTTTCACGCACAGACATTGTGGTTACAATTCTGTGGAGCCAGCACGCAAGATTGTATCTTTCAGGGTCTCGTATGATGACACCCTCGCTGGCACCAGTCTGATTTAGTGCTTTGCACCGCAACTTGCAAATCCTAAAACTTTCTGTGCTGAAAAAAGCGTTTATTGGAGCTGGTCTGATCTTCTTTCATGCTACGTATACACCTGTTTAGTAGAATAAATGGTAATGGATGATGCAGACCAACGGCTGACTATCTCTCTCGCAAAATTCATTTGTCTAAAAACAGATTTTCAAGTATCACCGGCGCCCAACTCCGCGTCGCTGCGTGGGAATTGGCTCGTGGCTGTACCTCCTAGAGCTGGTTTCCTGGTTTTCGTTGGTGACAAACGCGGCACTCCTCGTCTGGACGTTCCGAGTTATCCCCAGTACTGCTAGCCAGTCTCAGCCTCCGGCGGCGACGAACAGCGTTGAATCAGAATCAAGTGCTGCAGCTGCACTGGGGTCCTCGCCGAGCATCAGTGGGTCGAATGGCAGCTCGATCTTAGCAGGAGAAAGCCACCCTGAGCAGGAGGTGGGCGGCCGGAGCGAAGACTGGTTCAATTTCTGCTTCTTGCTGTGCATCTTGGGGTTGATGAAGTACTCGTTGGAGTTTTTCATCCCGATCATACCATCGAGTATGAAGACCATCGTCAGCCGGCACCGGCTGCTGCTCGACCAGGTGATTGGGGGCGGTAACGTATTCGGACATGATGCTCCTGGAGATGATCTCGCCACCTCGGACGCCGAAACCGAAGTATCGCAGTCGGAAAGAAGTTGTGGTCCTAGTCCTGGCGGTGGTGGTGCGGTAGAACTGCAGAAAATGGAAGACGAGGAGGACACATCAGACGGCGCCTCATCCGAAGAGGGCGACGATGAATCAGCTTCTTCGACGTCAGAGGCAGCAGCTGCACCTTCATCACCTGCAGGCGGTCCAGGGACAAAAGAGCGTGGACGGGGAAACGAGCATTGGGTAGGCAGCAGAAGTGTCGTGCACATGCGGCCAGAACTTGGGCAAGAACCGCCGATTAAGGAAGATGACGAAAACTTCTTTGTGCATCTCGGGCACTTTGGTTACGAGTACAGCGACCTGTTGTAAAAAAAAATGGAACTTCATCAAGTTCAGCTTCATATAGCGCACCAATGTCGGGCATCAACGAACTGACTGGATTTTTAAGTTTTGTCACTCACACTAATTTTGTTTTGCACTGATTTTTCTGGTCAGCTGGTACTTTTTGACTCATCTCCAGCGTACGCCTCGTGCCTCGCCATAAGTTCTTTAAACATGTTGAAGTGCAGCACTATAACCGCACGGAAATCTCCGATTGCCGCCACATGCATAGGAAGCCATTGCTGAGCTGTTGCTTCTCTCACCGACGGGTAGATAAGGAGTCATTTATCTAAGGCAGCCCTAGTGTTAGTTTTGTTTTTGCGGCAGCCTGATATTCCAGTCCTCGTATTTTGCCTCTTGCTTCCGACAACGACATCCTTTCGAAAATGTTCAGCACCTGCTAGGGCGGTGTGAAACCAAATCGCCTCCACGTCGCGATACATGAGGACATAAATCATTTTTCACTTGCACTCCGAATTCGTATTGCCGAGCTGCAGATGAACGTTGTCAGTTGGAATTGAATACATCGAGCAACAGTAAATATCTATGTATTGAGGCCTCATGATGGTGTGTTTGTTGTTCACTAGTGTTCGCATCAACATAAAATTGCAGTCTTGTAGTTCACAACTGCGCATCCATTCTTTTTTTCAGGAATTTTGGAGCCATACGTGATGTTTTTGTTGACGTCTGCATGGAGGATCTTGTGTCAAGTTGATCGTGCGAGAACATGCCACCTGATTTTCTGCTCAACTTTGGCAGCGGTTGCATGCGAAAAGTGCAGTCGTTTTTACGAAAAGCTCCCGTTTTCCCGATCGAACTCTGAATGAAATTGGTATGGCACACGACGAAAAGCCATGGAGGAACGAAGATGAAAATATAAACCCTGGAAAGGTGCAGCGATAGCAGCTGTGAAAGATATTAGAATACGTAGTTGTATTTCGCCACTAGTGACAAAAGCCAAAAATTTTTATCTGGACCATAAGAGGACGTAACCAAGCATAACGCCCTAGTGTTGCGTAGCCGATTTGATGGCAAGTCCGCCTCCTCGTTCAAAACTTAATTCTAGCTTGTAATTCTGAGCTCAAAGAATGTAACTAATCTACTCTGAAAATCTATGAACTATCGAGTTTTCAATGCAGTACATCAAATTTTCTCTGACAGTCCGCTCATCTGTTTCTGGCCGAGCCGTTTTAGGTTTGCAGTAGCTGGAGCTATAAGAGATTTCAATCGAGACAAAAAAGAATATCATACAACTCGTAGATTCTACAAGAAGAACGACAAGCAATAGATATTTAGTGTTGATTTTTTTAGCCCGAGTAGCGCTTTACTATTTTCCACCTGAAGCAATTGTAAAGCTCCTCACATTTTTCAAGCGATAGACGTCATCCTTATCTCTTCGCGCCCTTCTTTTTCCAGCAGGGTGAGGGTGATTGAAGATTCGAGTGTTGTAACATCTCGCGGATTGTTTTATGGATCTGGTCGGGCTTTGTAAACAAAAAACGGATAGTACAACTAGTAGTACGGAATATTGTCGGTAAAATTTTTACATACAGAAAGCAGACAGCTCATCGTGATAAAAAAATAGAAAAACATACACAGCCCTGATTTAAGTTTGTTTTGTAGGCGCCCCTAATTTTTTTTGCTTCTGGTGGTTAGCGGCGGCACCGGCAGAGCTACATAGAGTGTAAAGCGCCACGGGGTAATATCACAGCCATCCAAGTGCTCTACTCCTACGCCTTACAACTCCTACACCTGCGGCATTCATTCGGAATCATTCGTATCGAATTCACTCATGAGTCACAGTCAGAGTCAGGTACGGTTTGTGGGGAAAATGCATGCTGTGGCGCTTTCTAACAGATGTTGCGTCGCTTGTCCGCGTTCGCATTTGCATTTCAGGTATGGCCATGGCCTCAACAAGTGTCCTTTTGACCCGAAAGCTGGCTTTGATTTCTCGGCGTCTCAGTTCTGACACTGATGTGACTCACGATTCCTCATCGATACTCGCAAGAACAAGACGAACAATTATTTTCGCAGTCGGCGCGCAGGGGGTAGCCTGCGCTTTGCGTCGAGCAAGTACTACATAAAAGAAAACGACGAGGCAGCGCTGGCCACCGCGATGCGGACCAGAGCGGTCTGAACTGGGTACCCCACCTTTAGGAATTCGCCATCCAAAAAGAATACAGCTAGGCGAGCTACGGATTCAATGTGTTTACCCATATCAACAGTGTCAAGGTCATGGAAGTCCGAAACAAAGATACATAAACCATTTTTTTTCTGCTGATTCCACACAGCAATATACGAGTTCTACATAAGTAGAAGAAAGTAGTTTTTAAAGTACCTCTGTAGTTGTACACTCATCTGGACCACAACTTCCACTCCGGATACGACTATTTGAAAGAGTGGCGCGCGTCTTAGCCGCAGATTCTGATTGTTGGTATCGGAGCAGTTGTGAGCAGTCGCAGTCTATACTCTAGTATTTTCATGCCGCGCGGCGAAGTATATTTTTTCTCGTACGATAATTTTTAGTACTCAAGGAAAGTTCAGAAGTAGCAGTTAGGCAGCGATCGATCATTACCCGTCAAGCCATTGACGATTCAAAAACTGTGTCTGGAAGTTGGCTACTATCAGACCATCGATTGCTGCTTCATCTTCTCGTCTTGACTGAACGAGAAAATCTTTTTTGCTTTTGCCTCCGAAATTCAACTTTTTATGAGGCCAACGCGTATCAAAAAAATGCCGTTTTAGAAAGTCTTTTTTTACACATACATCCATGATAAATCATTAGCACGAACATAGCAGGAACATACTGAAAACGTGTGTATGAACCTCGTGTACGATATTTATTTGCGTTTTTTATTTCCAGCACCACGACTTGGAATTCGCGAACGAAAATAACGAGCACCCACTGCAGAAGACAAAGGGACTGAGATAGACTCCTTGTATCTTAGCTCGTTCTGTGAAAAACGCAAGCATATTCTTATCTAGACTAGCATAAGTTTTTGTGTCTTGAAAAACCGGGTACGGGTTGCCAACTTATGAAGTTCGCTGCCAGTAATCGACGGAGGAACGGCAGCTGAAATTTCATCTGCGGACATCAACAACGATAGCGAACGAGAAAAGGCTTCGAAGTTCGAAAAGAGCAGCAGTAGTCCTCGTGATCCGTTGCTTTTGGGTAAGCACCGGTATGCTGACTTGGGTACTTTCAAGAAAGTCTCAACCTCTACTGCGGTAGCTTGACCATGAGCTGGAAATCCTGGCCACTACTGCACCGTCAATTTTTCGCATCCGACAAAGAAGCATTTGAACACATTCGATCATGAGGGTCTTTCCGCGAAGGAGGAATTCTTCTCCCCGTTTAGCAAGAGCCGTGACCACCTCTACATCACCTCAGCCTGCTGCACCACGAGGAGAAGAAGTAGTAGTACTGCGAGAAGACAACTTCCACATTACGAAGATGTGGAGGAAGAGCAGATTCAAATGTTTGCGTTTCATCCCCTTTTTAAAGAAGATGCAGCAGCGGCAGTTGGTCCTGTTTCCGGTGGTTTTTCATGCGATGGCACTTTTTTTCGCCATCTCGGAGCTGTTGTTCAATCGCCCGGCACTGCAATTGTTTTTTCACCACCACGGCTGGCGGAAAGTTTTAGCGGCAGAAGTGCCTCTGAGCCAACTTGACGACCCGCCGGGAACTGCAAGGGAGCAGCAGGCCGGTACGATGAGGGAAACGCAAGTACAAGATTTTTTCCCGGAAAGATTGGTCAATGGGCGGATCTCCAGTCGCTCGAGGAGCCGGTCGCCGCTGGGGCCAATCAATAGTCACGAAAGTAGACCCACGAGCTTGCGTCTTTCCACGTCCCGCCCACCCCGCAGCGCATCGGGGTTCACACGAGTCCCCCGAGGACAACGCGTTAGTGATTCAGCGGATGAAGTAGAGCATTTTGAAGGAGGAGAACTCTTAGGGGAAGAAGAAGATTCGGATTCTCCGAGCAGTATTGCCTCCTCGCTGAACAGTTCCTGCGCGCCGAACAGCAGCGACTGCGATCTAGACGAGGAGGAGGAGGAACGGGAGAGAAACAACATCGTTGTGGACCACAGAAACCACCCCCCGAGCGCTATTGCGGCGGCCCTCGAGCAGAAGCGAATAGCCTTGCTCCAGCTGTGGAGCAACCGGCTGCGGGAACACATCAGCGTTCTTCTGGCAGCGCGGGCAAAGGAGGCGAAACGCGAGAAACGAAGAAAGTCCCCCGATGCGGACGCGAACGACCAGCAACAGCAGACCGCAGTCGCGCAGTCGATCGTGAAGAAGCAAGTAGCGATCCTGCGTGTGCTCCGGAACGCGATCCAGCGGTGGCTCTGCAGCCACACGTGCGCGGGGCCGGGCTGCGACTTCACCGAGTTTACGGCCGTAAACCGCATTGTGGAGGGTTTTCTCGAAGTGATCCATGCATTGTGGACGGCTTGCGGGGAGAAGGAGGATCTGATGAGTTTCTCCGTCGAACCGATGGTTCTGGCGTACGACATTGCGGAACGGAATTACAAAGTGATGAACGGCGAGCAACTACACTGGAGCAAGCTCGACACCACGCTGGGATGTTCTCCCTCCCGCCGTTGTTCTGTTTCAAAGAGTGGTCAGCTGCGAGCAGGCGGATCTTCATCATCTGCGGTGCGGGCAGCAGGAGGGTCAGCAGCCGGGCCGGGAGATGTTGACCACCTTCCACAGGTTGTTCGTGCCCAGCCAGGAACAAGCCATACCGCAGGAGAACAAGAACACGGAACCTCAGGACAAGATGTTCGTACGGCGGAAGATCATCTCGTACAGGCAGATTCTGATCGTGAAAACAAAGAGCATCTTCAAGAAGGTCCGGACCGCAGTGGCAACTCGATTTTTGTGAAGCGCGATCAGCGGAGGAGACACACATGGACCTCCAATTTCCTATCCCCGTGTGCGGCCGAGTTGCTGAATTTCAAAAAGTCCGGTTCGTGTCCTCAGTTCGTTTCCTCCGGAGCTGCAGATGACCTGGAGATGACAGACGCAGAGATGCATGTCGACGAGGACGAAAGTGCGTCGAGTAGATGCAAAATCGGAAAGAGCGCAGCAGCAGTGGCGGGGGGCGATACAACAAAACCCGGGGACGCTGGTCGTGTTCCAGCCAAAGACGCACTAGCCAAGGTCATTCGCCAGCACCACGTCGCCGGCAAACGTGGTAATGCGGAAAAAGAGGAAGGTGCAGCTGCAGCAGCACCAGCAGCCCCATGTTTCGACCAGTACGCGGCCGAAGATGGAGAAAAGTCGCCGACACGAAGGCAGGCGCTGCGTAAGCAGCCACTTCAGAGCGCTCAAAATGCGGGCTGTGCGAATACCAGAGCTGCGGGGCCTACCATATCCTTCAGCGGCCCTCTAGAGCAAGAGCCGGCCTTTTTCACTCGGCAGATTACGCCCCCACCCAGCAGCACCAGCAGTGTGTTAAACGCTGCCGCCGAGACTCTTGATAGGTCGCGGGGACGGGGCC